GGGGACGATGGCCGTGTGGGTTGGGTGGGAAAGCGTTGGACTTTACGTGATGTGGCTGGACACTGGTCCTCCGTGGAGTGTGCACGTCAGAGGGGACCCAAATTCGCAGGAGCTGCAACCCGCAAGCTAATTTTGAAGTCTTTCCGGGGGCCACATTAAATCCAGTGAAATAATAGGTTCAGGGAGGGAATTCTTTTTTTTTTTTTTTAAACCCTTTATATTTCAATTGTGCTTGAATATGTGCAGGGCTATTTTTGGGCATGAATGCACAGGAACAGAGTTCCGGCTAGCTCCTGAGTTGGCCACGCCCAGCAGGAACTCATTAGCATAACAGGCCACACCTAACAGCAGAAACTCATTAGGATTGGCTTCATTAGGCGTGTGTGGCCTAACATACAAAGGAGTTCCTGCTACAAAAAAGGCCCTGGGTTTTGACAACAAACAAGGTAAACAGAATAAGAAGGGAAAGGTAGGTGTGGCTGGATGACCACAATTCTGGTAACATGGGGGTGTGGCCTAATACGCTAATGAGTTCCTGCTGTTGGGTGTGGCCTATTATGCTAATGAGTTCCTGCTGGGCTTTTTCTACAAAAAAAGCCCTGAATATGTGAATGATAACAAAAGCAAACAAAGGCCCAAGAACAAACGTGTCAAACTAACTTGACGGTAGCAACCAAATGATGGAGAGGGTAGTTGTAATAGGTGCATTGATTGACAATTGGGCATAAATGGGCCTTGCCTTGGAAGCATACAGCAAATTCAGTATCCTAATAAATTATAAAAGGAGGGAATTCTCAGTGCAAGTTAGCTTGTGGAACTCATTGCAGCTGGTTGCAGACTGTTAGACTGATTCACGGAGGAGAAGTCCATCGAACGCCGTTAGCTTTGCTGTCTAGTTAGAACCTCAGTTCCCAGAGCAGTATATCTGAGTGCCAGAAGCTGGGGACGAAAACAGCCCTTGCCTTCACGCTTTCACTTGTGGATTTTCTGGAGGCATCTGATTGTCTGCTGTTGTAAAAAGAATAGAGGGATCTTTGGCCCTGGCCCAGTAAGCCGTCAGTCAGCGCTTGCTGCTGGTTTATCGAGGGGCTTTTGTGAAGCAGGTGGTTTTATTTAAATTGGGATTTATTTCGTAGACTTGCTTCCTAGGGCTGTCGTGGTTTCTAGCTTAGATTCCTCAGGGTTTGGCAAGGTCTATAACGGAATGAGCTGGTAAGGACTCTGATCGATTGTCCAGCTAAACAGCAAATCGCTCGGTGGTGCTAGTTTTAACTGGAGATGCCGGGGATGGAATACCAGCCCTTCTCACGCTCTGCCTCTGAGCTTGGGAGCCCTCCGTTGCTCCTTTTAGGGATCATGGAGGACAAGGGGTCATTTGGTAGAAAAAGAGGCGCAGGAGCTCATTAGCACAACTCATTAGCACAACTCATTTGCATAGGCCACGCCCCCTGACATCACCGGAAGTGTGTCAGAAGGCAACACCCACCGCTCAGGCTCCACTGGACTGTTTTGGATTGCTGGCTATTGTGTGGGGGAGGAACGTGCAGATCTGTCCTTGCAGAGGAGGGAGAGCTTGTACCTGAATAAAACTTGGTCTTAAAGGTGCCACTGGACTGTTTTGGACTGGGGGGCCGGGGGGGGAGCAGAGGCGGGCTCTGCAACTTACCTGGATGCTTCTTGCTCTAACTGAGGGCTGCTGGGAGCAGGGGTTGGTGCTTGTTGCATGTGCCCGCCCCCCTGGGCTCTTTACTGCCGGAGCTCCGCTCCTGTGCGCTCCTGCAGGAAAGGACCCCTGATGGAGGAGAAGGACTGGGGGGGGGGGCGTTAGAAGCAGTGCCGGTAATGACCATCGCCTCTCCTTCAGTCTTTGATCAGGAGCAGCGGGAAGCTCATCCTCTTAGACAAGCTGCTGACCAGGCTGCGGGAGAGAGGGAACCGGGTCCTGATCTTCTCCCAGATGGTGAGGATGCTGGACATCTTGGCCGAATACCTGGCCATCAAGCACTACCCTTTCCAGGTGAGGACGGAGGGGTGTGTGGATGGGAAACCCCCCCCCCCTTGGCCTACCGAATGGCTTCATCCTTGCACGGTGATCGAAGTTCAGCTAAAGGCAGGAATGGGGGGGCCTGCCTCTGTGTAGCGACCCTGGACTTCGTTGGTGGTCTCCTGTCCAAGGACTAACCGGGGCCGACCTTTAGGCTTGCTTAGTCCCCCCGGGGGGGCGGGGAAACCCCCGCCACAGAGGCCCGTTCCCCACCGCGGCGGATCGGGCCCCGGGGGGAACCCCACCCCGACGTGCACGTCACCCGGAAGTGATGCAACCACGCCGGGCACGCTGGGGGCGGGGGCATGGTCATCCGAGGGAAAACTCTATGGTTTTCCCTCGGATGGTCGTGGCCCCGCCCCCAGCGTGCCCGGCATGGTCGCGTCACTTCCGGGTGATGTGGTTGCGGCGTGTGCGCGCGCTCCAGGACTGAGACGGGAGTCCCCCGCTTCAGCAACAGGTAGGACTTGGCAACCCTACCGACCTTGCTTAGCTTTCGAGATCTAACAAGCCCAGTCTAGTCTGGGCTGTTCGGGCTGCTACGCCTATGTTATCTTTTTCAAAAGAAAGAAAAGACAAGCCTCCAGTCCTTCAGGCAGAGCCTGGCTCTCAGCCTGTAATGGGAGCTGCGCTGTCACCTGGTACACGGCGACGCTGGCCAGGCGGTGTCTCTGGCAGCCAGCAGGGTTATTTTTAATCGGCTTGTTATTTTTAAAGTGCTGACTTGCTCCAAGCTGTAGGGGGGGTGCCGGAGTTGCCGGTGGAGCGCCTGGGGTTCTGGGGCAGAGGGGCGACAGCTTTGCAAGGTGCGTGTCTCTTGTTCACTCCCTGCTTTTAAATCCCCTGTTCACCTTTTGCAGCGCTTGGACGGCTCGATCAAAGGTGAGATCCGAAAGCAGGCGCTGGATCACTTCAACGCCGACGGCTCGGAGGTACGGGATCCGGCTGCGAAAGGCCGGTGGAGAGAAAGCAGCACTGGGGGGGGGGGGGGGGGGCGGGGGTGGGGGGGGGCTTCGGGGAGGCTTTGGAGGCTAAGGTGTCCCTATCTGGCACGAGAGAGAGAGAGAGAGAAAGAGAGAGGGGCATTTTGGGAAATGTTTTTTGGGTCTGGAGGGCTTGAGGCCTAGAGCAGAAGAACAGGAACGAAGAACTCCCTAAGCTCGGTCCCTTCCTTACCGTTTGACCTGGCGGAAGCCCCTCAATCGCTTTGGGGGCTTCAGCAACGTCCCGTCCACTGGCAGGGCGGGTACTTTCTGTCAGCGGCACGAAAACTGCTTGTATGAATTATTTAGGGTGGAAATGCAACTGGACACTGGAAAAGTGAGACTGGCACAGAGGGCACCAAGGAAGGTCCTCCCCCCCCCCCCCCCGGCTCTCACGCTGTGGCCCACAGCTGTTGGCACAGAACCACTCTTGCTAGGTTTGCCTGCGGGCAATGCTCCCTCTAAGCTGTGGAGTCTTGCGAGCGGAAATTCAACTTTGCGAGCTACTGGCATTAGAGCTGCGAACGAGCGATTCGGGTGCTGCATAAATCAGTTTGCTCTGGAGCCATCCCTTCCTGAGCTAAGAGGAAAATGTGTGAGCCAGAGGCTAAAAAACTGTGAGCTCACAATAACTCAGCTGAGAGGGAGGAGGAGATTGGATTTATACCCCGCCCTTCACTACCCAAAGGAGTCTCAGAGCGGCTTACAATCTCCTTCCCTTCCCCTCCCCACAAATGACACCTGTGAGGTAGGCGGGGCTGAGAGAGCTCTGACAGAAACTGCTCTTTTTCAAGGACAGCTCTTGTCAGAACTATGGCTTGCCCAAGGTCATCCAGCCAGGCGCAAGTGGAGGAGTGGGGAATCAAACCCGGTTCTCCCAGATTAGAGTCCGCACACTTAACCACTTCCCCAAACTGGCTCTCACTGCCTGCAGCAGAACTGCGCTGAACAAGTACCTTCCTAAACCTCAGAAGCTTATTGAAGGACAAAGTTCGAGTCCAGTGGCACCTTTAAGACCATCAAAGTTTTATTGAAGGTATAAGCGTTTGTGTGCGTGCACACTTCTTCAGATACGTCGAAGAAATGCCCGTGCGCACAAAAGCTTATTCCCAGAAATGAACTTTGTTGGTCCTTAAAGGTGCCACTGGACTCAGACTTCATTTCACTGCTTCAGACCAACACGGCTACCCCTCCTGAATCTAAGCTTATTGAAGTCGGCGGACTTAGAAGGATGCAACTTTGCTCAGGATCGCAGGGCTAGGGAACGAATGACCAAGTCCCTGGTGCAAATCTCACCTCTTCCCTTGAACCCGCTGGGCCAGCTGTCTCCCTGAGCCTCATTCTCTTTCTCCTTCCTTTGCAGTCTTGCAATGGAGTGGCCTGACGTACACACTGATTACTGTGTTAAGCTTTCAAACGCTCTGAGCAACCTTGGAAACCGATCTGAAAGAGTTTCTGGTCGTCAAAACAGTTTTAATAGCATCCCCGTCTAAAGAAGGATCCGCTCCTTTCCTTTTCAAATAAAAGCTCTTTTTTTCCTGGTAGCTTGGGAAGGAGTCTCGCTTTGTGCAGGGGATTCAGAGGAATTATTTTGCATCTGCTGCAAAGCGCTGCATGAGTTGTTTGCAAAAAAAACCCCAGCAGGATCAGCTTCCACTCTCGGGCAGGCCAAAAGCCAGGAAGAACCTTGTTCAAGCGTCCCTTTCTTACCTGTTCATGACGGCATGCGCAGAACGTCTGAATAATAATAATATCAGGATGCTGTATCTGAGCTATATACAGTGGCTTTTATTTACAGTTATTTACACAGTCCTTTCCACCATGCGGTATCCCAGGTTCATAGAACTGACCGACAAGGTGCTTCGCAATACACTCTTCCACTGGTGTGGAACACTTGCCTCTGGACTACATTACATATATACAGTACTTGCACCAATCAGAGTCATTTTGCCAACTCATGGTGACATAGTTAATTAGCTGATGCAACCTAGTGCAACTTGCATCTGGTGACCCTGTCACATGACAGTCTTACCTGTCACCCAGATCAGTTTAATCTGACATGTGTGCATCATTGGCTGTCATCTTGCATACATATAATACAATATGCCAACACGCCTCCCAAGATACAGCCTATACAAATGATAGTTTACTTTTTAACACTTTAAATCTATTTACAGGTACACACTTTGTAAATAAATCAGCCAGGTTATCCTCAGAATTACAGTACTGAATGTTAATAAAATTTGTACACACAGCAACCCTTACATTCTGATACCTGATTGTGATGTGTTTACTTCTGGTTTTTACCCCTTGATTTTTAGCCAACTGAGCAGCTGCCAAGCTGTCACAAAAAACCTTGATAGGTAAATCACACTTTATGCAAAAGTCTTTTAATAATTGGTGAAACCATTCCAACTGAATAATCACATCACTTATAGCGGAGAATTCCGATTCACAGGAACTTAATGAAATATGTGCCTGTTTGATTGATTTCCATCCCACCAGGGCACCTAATACAGAAATTGTGAACCCTGTGGTCGACCTTGAATCCGGCCTTTCCCCCCAACTTGCATCACTGAAGGCTGACAGACCGTCTGTTTGTGCATCCACCTTTAGCACTAATTTTTCACTTGCTGTGCCCTTAAGGTACCGGAGCACTCTTTTTGCTGCAACCCAGTCTCTTTGATAAGGACATTGACATTGTTGACACAACCAATGCACAGCTATAGAGATATCTGGCCTTGTGCAGCATGACAAATACAGTAGAGACCCAACCAACGATTGATATAACTGTTTGTGAGGAAACATTTCTCCCTGCTCCTCTTTTAGGTAGTTTACTGTTACAGGCGTCTCAGTAACGTGAGCTTCACTCATGCCAAACCTTTCAATGAGCTGCAAGATCTTTTGCTCTTGGCAAAGAGTGTAATTACCTTGTTCATTCTTGCTTATCTGTACACCCAGATAACTCTGTATTTCGCCCAGATCCTTCATGTTAAACACTGATCTTAATGTTTCTGTAAACCAGTCCAATTGTTGTTGTGACGTGTACAATAAACAAAGGTCATCTACATAATAAAAGAGCCAGTAAAGCTGTCCTTTTAACTCTTTGCTGTATAAACATGGATCAGCTATACTCTGTTTGAAACCTTTATTTACCAGAGCATTATGAAGACATCGTCCCCATTCAAACGCGCTCTGCTTTAACCCGTAAAGAGCTTTGTTTAACCTTAGAACAGATGTATCAGACCCTGAATGAAACCCAGGTATCTGTTCCATGTAAATTTCCTCTTTCAAAGGAGCATTCAAGTACGCGGTTTCAATATCAAAGTGTCTCACTCTCATCCCCTTTGCTGCAGCCGCAGCCAGAGCAACCCTTATTGTTTCATTTCTGACCGTGCTTTGAAAAGTTTCATCATAATCTTGATATTGCCTCTGATCAAAGCCTTTACCGACCAGACGTGCTTTGTAGAGCACCTCACCATTCGGCTTGTGTTTTAACTTGTAGAGCCATCGACACCCAATTGCCTTCCGTTCCCTAGGCAACTCAGTGGGAGTAAATACCTCGTGTGCTCTGAGAGACTGATACTCAGTTTGCATTGCTGCTTCCCAAGCCTGGCGTTCGGTAGCTGCTAGAGATAACACTTCAGTGTATGTTTCAGGTACCTTTACAAATACATTATTTATACCATATCTCTGAGGTGGTATTCCCTTAGTAATTCTTGTAGACACTCTGGGTATTTGTGGAGAACCTGAACCAGTATCAGAGACTTGCGGTGCTGCTTCGGCACCTTCCTGCTTCACCTCTGTTCCCCCTGTACTGTCAGTAATTGGTAACATGATCTGCTGGGGAGTTTCATTAGCATGAATGTGTGACCAGTTGGCATTCTCGCAAAAATTTGCAGACCTGCTGAATACCAACATGTTGTGAGCGTTCACAAAACGATATGCTTTCATTCCAGTTTGATAACCAATGAAAGTTAATTTTTGTGCCCTGGGACCTCCCTTTCTTCTTTGCTTTAAAGGTATGTTCACCCATGCCTTTGACCCAAAAATTCTTAGGTGCTTCAAAGAAGGATTTTTACCATAGAGAGCCCTATAGGGAATGTCTTCAATTGTTCTACACCAAACTCTGTTGACATTGTAGGTGGCACATCTCAAGCACTCTGCCCAAAAGGACTTTGGTAAACCAGAATCTAATAACATAGAGTGCATCACCGTTTGTATAATTCCTGCTCGTCTTTCCACAATGCTATTTTCCTGAGGACAGGCTGTATTAGCCACTCTGTGTTCAATACCTTGTGCCTTTAACCATTTTTGCAAATCAGTAGCCATAAATTCACCTCCAAAATCAGTTTGAAGCTGCTGAATTTCTGTTCCTAACTGTTTTTGCACCTTTTTTGCCCATGTCTTAATTAATTCACATACCTCTGATTTCCTCTGCATAGGAAATGACCAACAGTACCTGCTGTGGTCGTCAACAATCAAAAGCCCATATCGTTTACCCGATAAGCTATTTTGATAGGGTCCTATTACGTCGGCGTGTACTAGGGCCAATACTTTATCTGTGGACCTTTGACTAGCCTTAGCTACTGGGTGTGTGCGTGATTTACTCTGCTTGCATATATCACAGTCTAAGTACATTTGGCATTTCTTTAACCTATCATGCCCTAGACATGCAAACGTTTTCTCTAATGTTGAGAATGACATGTGCCCCAGCCTTCTATGGTACATGTGGATACATTCATCATGCAATGCTTGATTGCTAATTACAGTTTTCACTTGCCCTGGAACGTTATCAAGAATATATACACCATTCTCCACTTTGCCAGTGGCAAGGACCTTATCTGCCTTCTGTATCACACATTGCTGTTCAGTAAATGTTACCCTGAACCCAGCTTTAGTTAATTCACCGATGCTTAATAAGTTGTGTTGGAGGCTAGGAACGCATAACACATTTTCAAAAGCATGATTCAAACAATGAAAATAAATTGTTCCTTGCACATTTGCTGATGCTGGTGCACCATCAGCCAAACTCACGTGTGCTGGACTAGCTGGCTGAGAGTCAGTCAGCAAGCTTGCGTCCCTTGTGAAATTCTGGGATGCGCCAGAGTCCAGGACCCATTTGTCCCTTTCAGAAGACCCTGACGCTGTCACCAATGTTGCTTGATGGGTGGCCACATGTTGAGGCTTGACACCGCCTCCGTCCTTGAGAACGTTGGTGGCCCTTTCTTTCTTCCGCGGGCAAAATCTTTTGATGTGGCCGGTTTCATTGCACAAAAAACATCTGCGTGCCTTCACGTGTAGAAGCGAAGATGCTTTCTCATCCTGTCGCTGACTCGTATGCTGCAGGCTGGCTAAACACCTGCTTTGGTTGGCTTGCTTCCCAGAATAGCTGGCTTGCTTCCCGGAGTAGCTGGCTGCCGTCCCGGACCTGCTGGCGTTGTTCCCAGGATGGCCGTTTGCCAACTCCCTCTGCCGGCCCCTCTGTTCGGCTTGAAGCAATCTTCCGGTCACATAATCAATTGAAAGATCCTCGGGCTTTACCCCTTCTAGAGCTGCCAGGGTCGGCTCAAAGGATTCAGGCAAAGAGCACAAAATTGTGTAGACCTGGTCTTCTTGAGAGATTTGTTTGCCCCTCTCAGTAAGAAGTTGAAAGCACTCATTTAAAGAGTCTAAGTGCCCTCTTAAATCATCTCCTTCTGCCATAACAGTCCTGTACAATCTCCTCAGGAGGGTAATTATTGAGCCTGAGGTTTTTTGTACATAAATATTTGCCAGAGCGTCCCATGCCTGCTTTGCCGAGGTCTTCCCAAATAGATAAACCAGCTGTGAGTCCGATACACTCAAGACTATAAAAGCCAGTGCCTTGTCTATTTGTATTTTCTCCTCTGGCGTGGGAGCCGCTGGGGGGGCTGAAACAAATGTCCACAGCCCTTCCTTTACAAGGAAGTGCTGCATCTTCATAGCCCACACTGTATAATTGGTGTAACTCAGCTTTTCAACAAACACGGCTGTTGGAGCCAAAGCCATGCTGATAAGCTCACCGGTTCCACTTGGTATCTGCTGCTGGACGGCGTCCTCTGTCTCTCCCGCCTCCTCCGAGCCGGACTGGGACGAGCTGTCGTCCGTGGACTGTGTTACTGCCTGGAAGACGTCCTCTTCCTCCTCCGAAGACATGCACGCTGTAGCTCACCAATTTGGACCTGGCAAACTTCCTCAGCTCAGTGCAGCCTTCTCCAACTGTACTCCAGCTCAGTAGCGCACCTCTGGGCCCATAACCCTGACGGCATGCGCAGAACGTCTGAATAATAATGATATCAGGATGCTGTATCTGAGCTATATACAGTGGCTTTTATTTACAGTTATTTACACAGTCCTTTCCACCATGCGGTATCCCAGGTTCATAGAACTGACCGACAAGGTGCTTCGCAATACACTCTTCCACTGGTGTGGAACACTTGCCTCTGGACTACATTACATATATACAGTACTTGCACCAATCAGAGTCATTTTGCCAACTCATGGTGACATAGTTAATTAGCTGATGCAACCTAGTGCAACTTGCATCTGGTGACCCTGTCACATGACAGTCTTACCTGTCACCCAGATCAGTTTAATCTGACATGTGTGCATCATTGGCTGTCATCTTGCATACATATAATACAATATGCCAACAGTTCAGCCCCTTGCTGTTCCAGTCTTGATGCCGTATGCGACATCCAGAACGTAATCCACTTAATACCTTGTATTGGGACCAGCCAGATGACATGAAACACTGTACAAGTTTTCAGTTCTCCAGAACTCTTCTTCATCCCGAATATACCCATCCTAAGCGTCTGTGGTCCAGAGCACATGGAGTTCCCCTTGTTCTGTAGCTGGAGTTGCCAACTCCAGATGGGGAAATTCTTGGAGATTTGGGGAGGCAGAGCCTCGGCAGTGGGAGGACCCAGCAAGGATGTGGTGCCATAGAGTTCACCCTCCAGAGCTGCCATTTCCTCCAGGGCAACAGATCTTTGTAGTCTGGAGAACAGGCTTAACTCCAGGAGATCAAGTGTAACTCCTGGAGGTTGGCAACTCGGTGTGCAGCCCAGATCAACAGTGTACCCAATCCACAGTCCTAAGTAGACGGTCTCTGAGTTGGCACCTGAAAGCTTTGGGTCTCATTCTTGCTTTGCTGATCGGCCTCCCTGGTTCATGGTTCTGCAGCCAGGCCTGTAGCTACGGCGGGGCGTTTGGGGGCTCTGCCCCCTCAAATGTGAGGCATGCCCCATAACAGCTGCTGCCCCTCTTCCCCGTCCTGTGACATTAAAGGGGCCCTCTAGCTGATCGGCAGGGGCACGGGGCCCGCTGATCAGCCGGAGGGCCCTTCAGATCTTTGCAGCTGCCCCCTCCTTCCCCTCCTCCAAGATTTAAAGGGCCCTCCAGCTGATCAAGGAGCTGTGGTGGCTCAAGTGGTTAAGACGCTGCACTGCAGGCTGTGGAAGGTCGGTAGTTCAGCAGTTCGAGACCCGCGTGTGCCGCATGACGGAGTGAGCTCCCGTCTCTAGTTCCAGCTCCTGCCAACCTAGCAGTTCGAAAGCAAGAAATTGCAAGTAGATAAATAGGTACCACTTCGGTGGGAAGGTAACAGCGTTCCGTGCACCTCGGTGTTTAGTCATGCCGGCCACATGATTACGGAAACGTCTTCGGACACCGCTGGCTCTTCGGCTTTGAAACGGAGATGAGCACTGCAACCCTAGAGTCGGATTCGACTGGCTTTCGAGCAAGGGACACCTTTTCCTTTACCTTTTACCAGCTGATCAGCAGGCCCTTTAAATCTTGCAGGAGGTGAGGGAGAGGGGTGGCTGCTGGCTGCATGCCTTCCCTGAACCCCAAGGGGGAGATAAGGCGTGGGCAGCCCCCGCTAGTTCAAGCTCAAGTTAGCCTTCATTGGCATAAATTGTTGATACAGGTTGCACAGTTTAAAAACACACCTATAAAAATATTATGTCTCTAGATTGTACAATTTAAGAGTAGATTAGAAACACACCTATAAAAATACTATGTCTCTAGGATCCTTTGGCGCAGCTTTAAAGCAGAGTGGAGAAACTTGGCCACCTTCTCAGTGATGTCATAGCAGAGGTCATTCAGAAGTCTGTGTGCCGCCTTAAGTGCATCAGGGCAATCCATTGTGCTGCTCAAAGTAGAATGTAAATAGATCCACGTACAGGTGACCACGCAAAAGGGCACGAGTAATTGACTCAACACATTTTTCTTTGCGGGGGCAGTCTCTGGCAGAGTGAGAGATCTTGTTGAATCTGCAATATAAAATGGCGGAAGGCAGGGCTTTTTGGGGGCAGGAACGCACAGGAACGGAGTTCCGGCTGGCTCCCAAGTTGGCCACGCCCAGCAGGAACTCATTACCATAATAGGCCACACCCAACAGCAGAATTAGGATTGGCTACATTAGGGGGCGTGTGGCCTAACATGCAAAGGAGTCCCTGCTACAAAAAAAGGCCCTGGGTTTTGACAACAAACAAGGTAAACAGAATAAGAAGCAAAAGGTGGGTGTGGCTGGATGAGCACACTTCTGGTAACATGGGGGTGCGGCCTAATTGCTAATGAGCTGTGCTGTCAGGGGTGTGGCCCAATATGCTAATGAGTTCCTGATGTTGGGTGTGGCTTATTATGCTAATGAGTTCCTGCTGGGCTTTTTCTACAAAAAGAGCCCTGGCGGAAGGCATGGCATTGCATCTGGCCAGAGTAAACGGGCAGCCCCTGCTAGAAAAACAGCATTTAAAAGGGTCCCTGCCGCCCTCCACTCCCACAAAACTTCCCCATGCTCCACCCACCCAAAATTTCTGGCGACGGGGCTGTCTGCAGCACGACTGACGTGTGACCTTTCCCTCCCACGCTCAGGATTTCTGCTTCCTGCTCTCCACACGAGCCGGAGGACTGGGGATTAATTTGGCCTCTGCGGACACCGTGGTGATCTTTGACTCCGACTGGAACCCCCAGAATGACTTGCAGGCCCAGGCTCGGGCTCACCGGATCGGGCAGAAGAAGCAGGTGAGGAGAGCAGTTTGCGTCAGACACAGCTCCCCGCACAGATGTCTCTCTCTGCAGCCGCATCTAGCCGCGGCTTTAAGCCAGTCGCGTTTTGACTCTGTGACAGGGAGACAGGCCTGAAGCAGTGGGTTGAGTAGACCTCAGGGGAATTTTCATTTGCTCCGTTGATTGACTTCATTTATACCCCGTCTTCCTGCCCAGTGGGGAATCAAGGCGCTTACCTTATTCTCTCCTCCTTCGTTTTATCCTCACAACAGCCCTGTTTGGTTGGTCAGGCTGAGAGTGTGTGATGGGCCCAAGGTCACCCTGCAAGCTTACATGGCAGAGTGTGGATTTGAACGTGGTCCTCCCAGGTCCTAGGCTGACACTCTAACCACTGCACTACGCTAGAGCAGGGGGTGGCCAAACTTTCACACCTATTGTGCGGCTCCTGGTAGGGCAACCGGGGAAGCTAAATATCATTAGCAAACAAATATCGTAGGACAAATGTCATTATCAATATCTGCTTTTACCGCTTTTGATATTGTGTCCAGATCACGGTAGTTCCGCTCTGCCTCTGCTATGGTCAGGCCTCACCTGGAGTCCTGTGTCCAGTTTTGGGCACCACATTTTAGGAAGGATGTTGACAAGCTCGAGCGTGTCCAGAAGAGGGCAACCGGGATGGTGAGAGGGTTGGAATCCAAGCATTATGAGGAAAGGCTGAAAGAGTTGGGTATGTTTAGCCTGGGAAAGAGAAGGCTTAGAGGGGACATGATTGCAGTCTTCAAATATTGGAAGGGCTGTCATGTAGAAGATGGAGCGGATCTATAATATAAAGCAAACCTGCATATTTCCCAGTTCATGCCTTGCAGCTCTCAAGCATCTGACGTTTATTCTATGTGGCTCTTACGTTAAGCAAGTTGCGCTAGAGGCTGGACCCTGGCCCACCTTAACTGGGCCTTTTGACTAGTGGATGAATGTGTTGCGAGGTTTTGTGTCTGATTCTTACATTCTAGATGGCACTGATGTTTGAATTTGTTCCCCCCCCCCCCGCCAATCTCTTACTTAGAGGTTGAGATAATTATACCTTAACAACGGCCTCTGAGCAAGGATCCGGAAAATCACCACGGGGCCCTGTACGGAGGAAGCTGTTTTGCAGAAAAATCTGAGACATTAAAAAGACAAACAAGCATTGTGGTCTTTTTAAAAAACCATAGTGGTGTTTTGGGGGGAAAAAATCCTGAATTCATAGAAACACAGGATGCCACCAAGATTGATTCCCTACTGGGCAGGAAGGTGGGGTATAAATGAAGTATTGTTTCTTTATTTATTTCATCTATACATTGCTTTTCTTTCCAGTGGGGAATACATCATTCCTCTCTCCTCTTTATCCTCCCAACATCCCCGTGAGGTAGATTAGGCTGAGAAAGTGCGACTTAAGTCACCAGTGAGCTTCCATGGCACGAATGGGGGGATTCGAGCCTGGCTCTCCCGGATACTAGTCCGACACTCTGAACCCCTACACCACACTGGCTCCCCTCTTGTGAGGCGCTGGTGGTTGTTGAGTTGCTGGGCAACCCCCGGTAAACAGTGCCGAGGGTTCCGCGCATCAGTTAGTCTCCCGGTGAGAGAGGCGGTAAAGCTGTAGTGGGAGAGGAGAGGGAGCAGGACAGATAAAAAAGGAAAGCTGAAAATGGAAGAGGGGGAGAACGAGAAGGTAGTTGGGCGAGGGAGGGGTTTGGGGCAGAGTCTGCCAGAGAGGGGAGAAACAGGAAGAGGTGGGAGGGAGAGAAAGGAAGGCGAGAGGCTGATGACACTGGAGGGGTGGGACGGGGAGAGAGAAATGAGATTCCCACTCTAGCATCTTCCCACCTAGGAGACCTTGTGGGTCCACCACTCATTCTGTTCCGTCTTGGGCAATGTTCCCTCTAAGCTGCGGAGTCTTGTGAGCAAAAGGTCTACTTGGAGAGCTCCTGGCATCAAAGTTGTGAGCGAGCGATTTGGCTGCTGCATCAATTCGTTTGCTCTGGAGCCTCCTCCTTCCTGAGCGAAGACAAACAATGTGTGAGCCAGAGGCTAAAAAACTGTGAGCTAGCTCACACTAACTCAGCTTAGAGGGAACACTGGTCTTGGGTAGAATTTCGGATTTGGGGCTTACAAAAGGGCCTGTAAGCCGGGATTTTTCTGGTGGTGGGGCATATTTTTTTTCCTTGCAGAGCAGAGACAGCATCAGATAAAGAATTAAGATGAACATGAATCGCAGCTCTTCAAACCTGAATCGTATTCCATTCCCCTCTGGTCAGCTGTTAGGTAAAAGGTAAAGGTAAAGGTTCCCTTGCTCGAAAGCCAGTCGAATCCGACTCTAGGGTTGCGGTGCTCATCTCCGTTTCCCAGCCTAAGAGCCAGCGCTGTCCGAAGACATTTCCATGGTCATGTGGCCGGCATGACTAAACACCAAGGCGCACGGAAAGCTGTTACCTTCCCACCGAAGCGGTACCTATTTATCTACTTGCAATTTCTTGCTTTCAAACTGCTATTTGTCAAGGAGTGAAACTGACCAGAAGCGGCAGGGCAGCTTTCCTTTCCTTCCCCAGCTTCCCGGCTGGTGCTGCTGCAGGAGGCTGGGGAAGGGAAGGAAAGCTGCCCTGCCGCTTCTGGTCAGTTTCACTCCTTGACAAATAGCAGTTTGAAAGCAAGAAATTGCAAGTAGATAAATAGGTACCGCTTCGGTGGGAAGGTAACAGCTTTCCGTGCGCCTTGGTGTTTAGTCATGCCGGCCACATGACCATGGAAATGTCTTCGGACAGCGCTGGCTCTTAGGCTGGGAAACGGAGATGAGCACCGCAACCCTAGAGCGCCAGGATGTAATGCTACGCGTCGCTCTGGCAACAGGGCTGTTTGGAGTCCTGTTGCCAGAGCGATGCGTAGCGTCACATCCTGGCGACGGCGGTGCAACGCGTATCGCTGTCCCCTACGGCAGGGATCCTGTGAAGACGCACGGATCCCCCGCCGCGGCTTGGCAGCCCTATCTCTGATGGTGAGTCTGAGTTAGAACTTCCTTTTTTGCTTCAAAGTCTGAGAGTTTCTTCCCTGCCTCTATGGAAAGAGAACTGCACAGATGAAAGGGGAGGCCCATTCTTTTGGGAGGCAAAAGAGTCGTGTAGGGGGTCCCTCTGAAGAATCCAGTTGCCCTTGGGAGGGCAGTGTAGCTCTGTAGCAGAGCCCTTACTTTGAGTGTTGAAGGTTAAAAAGATCTCCCGCAGCTGGGGAAGATCTCTCTTTGACGGAGAGCCGTTGGCCAGTCAGAGCCATGTGTTGTGTGGACGAACATTCCGACTTAGTACCTGGCCGATGTCTTTGTTCCTGAGGTTGGTGTCTGCTCCTCCTCAACAGGTGAACATCTATCGCTTGGTGACAAAGGGGACAGTGGAGGAGGAGATCATCGAGAGAGCCAAGAAGAAGATGGTGCTGGACCACCTTGTGATACAGCGCATGGACACCACAGGCCGGACTGTCTTGGACAACAGCTCTGGCCGATCCAAGTAAGAAGAGGGACCGGGGGCTGGCTGTACCACTTCGAGGCACACCACCTTAAAGCAACGCTTTGCGAGTTTCCCTTTTTATTTCTGTAATCGCAGCTCGAACCCTTTCAACAAAGAGGAGCTGACGGCCATCTTGAAGTTTGGAGCGGAAGACCTCTTCAAGGAAGTGGAAGGGGAAGAATCAGAACCACAGGTGGGCCTTCCTCTAAGTAGGATGCAAGGGATTTATGTCTTCACAAAATCTCTCTCCTGCTTTTCTGACCCGTCGGGGCCACCACAGCAGCTAACAGAAACAGCATTACAAAAACAGATGCACAAAACCAATCAAAACCAAAACTAAAAAACACAGAAACGACAGTTAAAACAAGACAGGAAGGAGAGGTCTACTGAGGGAATGATAGATGACACAAAAAGTCTTCACCTGCTAGTGGAAGACAGTGATAGACCAGGACAGACACATATTCTGGGGAGGGAGTTTCATAATTTCGGGGCCACGACTGAGAAGTTGCCATGTATGTATCTTCAAAAGGTGGGGTTAACAGAAGCAGGGCTTCAGAAATTTACTGTGTGGATCAAGTAGGTTTGTATGGGAATTGGTGGTCCTCAAGATATGCTGGTTCCAAATCGTATAGGGCCATTGGCTGTGTCTCTCTTCTTATGTGTTACCAGGCAGAGAAACCTCATCCCATGTGAGCTTCAAGTCCAGTGAGGAGGCTGCCTGCTGGATCTCTGCATGAGTCCCTGCTCTGGCCTTTTCTTCTTTTAGTCTGCTCACCAGAGCAGTGACTCATGCTGAAACAGGGGGATTGAGCTCAACAGAGCATGGATAATTTTTCCTTGTGCAACCTAGAAGTAAATCTTTGGGGGCACAGGAGGGCAGTGAGCTGGATCCAGTGCAATGTTTCCACACGTGTAAGTACTTCAGTTGGTGGAGCGTGATGGTCTTCGCTTTCCCCCCTCTTGCGGCAGTCCTGAATGCCTTCTGAAGGACCCCCAGGAACAGGATTTTAGGAGGCATTTTGGGATGCATTGGGGGGGGGGGGGACAAGAAAGTTGCACTCTGTGGAAAGGCATCTCTGGATCCAACCCAATGTGTTTCCATTTTTAATTAAGGAGGGGAGGGTGCCTTAGCTTTTAGATGCTTGGGGGACTTTGAACACGAACACACACACACACAAACACACACACACTTTCTCTGTGTGTGTGTCTCTCTCTCTGTCTCTGTCTCTCTCTGTCTCTGTCTCTCTCTGTCTCTGTCTCTCTCTGTCTCTGTCTCTGTCTCTCTCTCTCTCTCTCTCTGTCTCTGACTCTCTCTGTCTCTGACTCTCTCTGTCTCTGTCTGTCTGTCTCCTGGTCCAGTAACTTTGAAGCATATTGGCTCTTCTCCAGAGTTCTGCCTGGCCTGGGTGGTTGGGAAGTTGAGTACTACAGATTTCTGACCCCTCGTCCCTTTTTGGGCGACGTTTCTCTCTGATCTCCCGTCCCATGCTTTCAGGAAATGGACATAGATGAAATCTTGCGCCTGGCTGAAACGCACGAGAATGAAGTGTCCACAAGCGCGACGGATGAACTTCTCTCACAGTTCAAGGTATAGCCCCGTGGGCAGGGGGAAATTATATTTCTAGGAGCAGAGCGTGGAAAGGGAGCAATTGTTAAGGGCGTGGAGGGATTTGGATCGTAGGGTAGCCGCTCGCTCAGGTGCCTTTTAGAACTGATTTTAGACAAATACAGAGAGGATGATTTGGTTGGTTGCTGCTAGCTGTGAAAGATTAAAACGTTTGGTAGTCGTTATTACCAGGTACTGGGGAGAAAGGGGTGGGAAATCGGCATGGTATGTAGCCCAGTCTTGGAAGCTAAGCAGGTTTGGTACTTGGAAGGGAGACCACCGAGAAAGGCTCTGCAGAGGAAGGCCATGGCCAACCACCTCTGCTTCTCACGTATTTATTTATTTATTTTTACATTTGTATCCCGTCCTCCCCAGTGGGCTCAGGGCGACTAACAGGGGCAAGGTCGTTAGCCTTGCCATAGATAAAAACATATAAAACATAATAAAAAGATCCAACACTAAAACCACAGTACTCTATCCAGTTACTAGTATCCTAAATCCAAGATGGTATCCCTGCAGTTCCAGATGGTGCTCCCATGGTGTGCACGTCCAGTGGCGACGGCTTATCAGATCTTCTGTAATTTCTAGGTTCTTCCTCGGGCCCCGTCGATGCATCCATTAAGATGTCTTGACGGTGATGGTATAGTAGGGCGGCGGCTCCTACTCAAAGGCCTGGCGGAAGAGCTCCGTCTTGCAGGCCCTGCGGAACTGCCCAAGGTCCCGCAGGGCCCGCTTCTCCCCCGGGAGCTTATTCCACCAGGTAGGAGCCACCACCGAAAAGGCCCTGGCCCTGGTCACAGCTAGTTTGGCATCTTTGGGGCCCGGGTTGACCAACAGATTTTGGGCCCCCGACCGTAGTGCTCTTGGGGGAACATGTGGGGCAAGGCGGTCCCTCAGGTAGGCTGGAATGCCCCTTGCTGGGGTTGCCAGAAGCCGGTTGCGACTTGGTGGGGCTTACATATATACTGGGGAGAGTCAGTCGCCACTCTGTGCCTTCTTTGTGAGCTTCCAGGGCTATTGCTGAAGATGGGGCGCTTTCGACTTCAGCCGGCAAAGCAGTTCTCTGGTTCTCTTTGCAAGCATGTCAGGCTCTGCACTCTCTTCCTAACCTCCCTTGCGAGGTTGTTGTGGGGATTGAGTGGCTTGGAGGGGGATGATAAAATAGCTGTAACGGCTAGAACTACTGATGTGTAATATAAAACCTGTTTATACGGTGTGCGTGGCATAAACCTGTGATGAAAATCCATAGATGCTGTCCACAAGCTTTCCAGAAATGTACATAGTTTGACAGCAGAGCTTGTTTAGCTGGAAGGAGGAAATTAAGCTATGGCTTGTTATTGTCGTTATGTCTGTAGTTGATTTGTTGCAGCCAGTTTGTACATCTTCTCTCTCCACCTCCTCTTTCCAGTTAATGGAGAGCTAGCAAATTTATGACTTTAACTGCAACATAGGGGTAGGTTAGGTTTCCCCAGGCTCGAAAGCCAGTCAGATCTGACTCTAGGGATGCGGTGCTCATCTCCGTTTCCAAGCCGAAGATCCAGCGCTGTCCAAAGATGTTTCCATGGTCATGTGGCTGGCATGACTAGACGCCGAGGCGCACGGAACGCTGTTACCTTCCCACTGAAACGGTACCTATTTATCTACTTGCAGTTTCTTGCTTTCAACATAAGGCCGTTTTATACTGAGCCAGACCCCTTCTGGCCTGGGGCTCTGATGGATCGTCTCATTATTTTTCATTTTACGAAATTTAAGTCCAGCCCTTTTGCCCTCACCAGGGCCACCAAGGCGGGTAACCAACAGACATAATCAAATCACAGTTTAAAACCAAACAACCTTCCCCACTAAAGCAATTTAAATCAGCGCTGAACTCCATGTAAAGACACAGAAACGGTGCTTAATACATGTCTTTTCAGGGTGTTGAAGTGTATGGTTTGCCACTGATCTAGGGCCCCTTCCTTTGTCTGTTCCTGTACCGGGTAGTCATTCCACAGAAAGGGGTCCTTTGGGTTTCCAATTTGGAAGTGCGCAAGGGATGTGCTTTTCTTGTGCTTTAAATATTGTCTGAGAGTTTTGGGTTGCTGACAGTCACTGGGAAAACGGGAGAGCCCATTCAGGTCTTTGGGACTCGTGTTCCGTTTCCCACTGGACTTGTCTGGCGGCCTTCTTTGAGCCTCAGTTTTTACAATCCGTTCCAAGGACTTTAGGAGCTGCGGTGGCTCAAGTGGTTAAGATGCTGAACTGCAGGCTGTGGAAGGTCGGTAGTTCAGCAGTTCAAGACCCGGGGTGCCGCATGATGGAGTGAGCTCCCGTCTCTAGTTCCAGCTCCTGCCAACCTAGCAGTTCGAAAGCAAGACATTGCAAGTAGATAAATAGGTACTGCTTCAGTGGGAAGGGGAACAGCGTTCCGTGCGCCTTGGTGTTTAGTCATGCTGGCCACATGACCACAGAAACGTCTTCGGACAGCGCTGGCTCTTCGGCTTGGAAACGGAGATGAGCACCGCAACCCTAGAGTCGGAATCGACTGGCTTTCGAGCAAGGGACACCTTTACCCTTTACCTAGGACTTTCTCCCCTTTCTTCCCCCGAGAGAAAGCCGCTTCTCACGTTTAAAAACGAGCAGCCAGACTGGCCCCCGAGAACAAAATGAGGGATGTTTTCCTTCCAGGTAGCCAACTTTTCAACCATGGAGGACGAAGAGGCAGAGCTGGAAGACAGATCGCAGAAGGACTGGGACGACATCATCCCCGAGGATCAGAGAAAGAAGGTGGAGGAGGAGGAGCGTCAAAAGGAACTGGAGGAGATCTACATGCTCCCCAGAATCCGCAGCTCGGCTAAAAAGGTATCCGCCAGGACCGTGCGTGCACTGCAGTGCCGTGGAAACACAGAAATGGTACCAAATGGGGTACCAGGTTTAGTTTTCCAAGAACGTCATCTTTTGCTCCAAGAACCCCCCCAAAACGAGTTTTCATCTTGTGTCTCACGTAGAAAGAAATTGGTTACAAAATTCCTCACTTAGGTTTCTGGCCCCTTCCGTCGCAGGCGGATGCTTGAAAGTGTTCCGATGGCAGCCGCTCAAGGCTCGGGTGCTGGAGGGGTGACTGAATACGCTTTCTGGTGTCCAGTGGAGCCTTCCTGGCCTCCATTTTATTTATTTATTTATTTTTATTTTGAGATTTCTATCCCGCCCTTCCAAGCGGCTCAGGGCGGCTAACAAGCGGCTAATGCCGGATTAAATAGATAAAATACAATAAAACAATGGCTGCGGTCACACGGCGCATTAGCCACACTACAGAGACGGAAGATAGGCGGATTTTCCGGGCGCGATCACACCGCAACATCTGGGAAGCGTAGAGCTCCCGTGGCGAACCCGAGGCTTCCCGCCGAAGATGCGGAGTTAAAAACTAATACCACCGAGGAACTAGTTTCCAGAAACCGCGGGGCAAGGGCTGGCGTCTGATCGCGATTCCGGTGGTGGCATCCGGCGCCACCCATGTCCCTTCACAAACAGGGTTTTTTCCCCCCCAAGTCTCCACAAGATGCGCACAAGCACCCAACGGTGCATGCGCACAAACAGAAAAGTGAAAGTGCCGTTTCGACTTTAAAAAAAAAATGACCCGTTGGTCGCGCCACGCAGCTTCTTTGCCGCGCTGTAGGATTGTCGTGTGATCGCCACCCTCGTTTACCTGCCGGCGCCAAGGGGAGGACCCGTGGTGTGCCGCTGGCATGTCTGATCGCGTAATCGCGGATCAAACTGCGCCGGGGCAATTAGCCACGCCTCCCCCGCGCGCACGATATCCAGCCCGTGTGAGCAGAGCCAATATTACATAGCCACAATAAAATTCATAAACAGTATTTAAGGTGCTCAGTTGTCCTGTATATAAATCCCCAAGATGGACAGTAATCCCAAATCGAAGGCCAGCTTTATTAAATAGCGAGGGCTCCAGCAGTGACGTTCTCCCCACTTCCGCCAGGCGACACATCCCCCCCCCCCATAATAGGGGTAGATGATGGAACAGTACCACGGTAGTGGAATAGTGGTGGCGGCGGTTCCTACTCAAAAGCCTGGTGGAAGAGCTCCGTCTTGCAGGCCCCGCAGAACTGCATAAGGTCCCGCAGGGCCCGGATCTCCTCCGGGAGCTCATTCCACCAGGTAGGAGCCGCCACCGAAAACGCCCTGGCCCTAGTTTGGGCAAACTTAACATCTTGGGGGCCTGACACTTCCAGGAGGTGGAGACTCCCCGATTGCTGTGGCTATCCAAAGAGAATAATGATAGAAAGTGTTAAGGGTGGAATAAATGATGGAAAGCAGGCAAAACTGTGGGCTTTTACAGGGCTCGTTTCATCCGCTGAAATTTAGGTCTTTTTCATAGAAATCTGGGTAATTTCGGTGCAGAATCTTCACTTTCTCTTTTTTTGGTAATGCACAGCTGGGCGTACTGGCAGTTTGGGTGGAGAGGAATATGATTGTCCCCATGCTTCTACACGCAGCTGCTGGTGTGACCTTGGGTCAGTCACAAGTTCAGTGTTGTTCTCTCGGGAGCAGTTCTCGAAAGAGCTCTCTGCCCCACCTACCTCACAGAGTGTCTGCTGTGGGGAAAGGATGGGAAGGCGATTGTAAGCCACTCTGAGACTCCTTCGGGTAGTGAAGGGCAGGGTATAAATCCAGTCTCCTCCTCCTCCTCCCTCAGGCCCAGGCGAATGACAGCGATTCGGACAGCGAGATGAAGAGAAAGCTGCAGAGATCCTCAGGATCTGAGAGCGAGACAGAGGACTCCGACGACGAGAAGAGGCCCAAGCGCCGAGGGCGGCCCCGGAGCGTTCGGAAGGATATGGTGGAAGGGTTCACGGACTCAGAAATCAGGAGGTTGGTGAGACACCTTTGGGTCCTGAAGGGCGGGGTATAAATCCAATCTCTTCTCTCTTCTTCTAAACCCAAACAGGCCCTACAGGTACCAGTCAGCATGTGGCCATAATTTGATATCAGTTGATTTATCCCACAATCTCAGGCAGGTTACCACCCTCTGTTGTCCCTTTTGTTTCTTAAGAACATAAGAGATGCCAATGTTGGATCAGGCCAAAGCCCCATCCAGTCCAACACTCTGTGTCACATAGTGGCCAGAAATACCAGGGGCCATCAGGAGGTCCACCAGTGGGGCCAGGATACTAGGAGCCCTCCCGCTGTTGCCCCCCCCCAAGCACCAAGAAGACAGAGCATCCCTTGCCCCAGACTGAGAGTTCCTATCTATACCTTGTGACTAATAGCCACTGATGGACCTCTGCTCCATATGCCTATCCAGTTCCCTTTTGAAGCCGTCCATGCTTGTAGCCGCCACCACCTCCTGTGGCAGTGAATTCCATGTGTGAATCACTCTTTGGGTGAAGAAGTACTTCCTTTTATCCGTTCTAACACAACCGCTCAGCAATTTCATGGAGTGCCCACGAGTTCTTGTATTGTGAGAAAGGGAGAAAAGTACCTCTTTCTCTACCTGCTCTTCTAGGGCTAGAATAGAATAGAATAGAATAGAATAGAATAGAGTAGAGTAGAGTAGAGTAGAGTAGAGTATAATATAGTATAATATAATATAGTATAGTATAGTATAGTATAGTATAGTATAGTATAGTATAGTATAATAAATATAATGTAATATAATATAATATAATATAATATAATATAATATAATATAAAATAAAATAAAATATGGTAAATGAAAGCAATGAAATTAACAACAGCAGTCTACCTGCTAATGCAGCTGTAGAATACAGGGCGGAATAAACAGCAAAAAACTATGTTAAAACGTAGATTTGACGTCCAGCAGGAAAAGGGACTGGGGGGGGGAGGGGAGTCAGCAAGCAAGCAAATAAGTCTTAACCAGGCACCAGAAAGATACTAATTTTAGTGTCAGATAAGGCTGGTCCTTGCTTGGAGTGCCAAAAGGGATTGGCCCCATTCTCCTGCATTGCCTTTTGGTTCAGCCACGTGGATTTAGGAGTGTTCCATTGGCCTGGTCAAGCTGGGATGCGGGATGTGACATCTCTGATAGACTGTTTTGTTTTTTGTTCCCTCAGGTTTATCAAGGCCTATAAGAAGTTCGGAGTTCCCCTGGAACGGTACGTGCAGTTAGATTTGTTCCCCTGAGAACCAGTCTGCTGACTTAGGCCCCGGTCACACGTGCCCGAAAACACGTGCCCCGGGGGGGG